GATATTTGTCCTATTACAGCTCAAACAGGGCTAATACATAAGAATCCTGGCCACTTCAACAGGACTGATATGACTATTATAAAATTAATACAGATACACAAGACTATTATACTGGAGACCAGACTATGAAACTATACAACTATACAATACCGCGTAATTTTTATGACAATACTACGCATGCAGCACATTGATGGCATGCGATGATGCAGCAGCAAGTAGCCCTACCGTGACTAGACCACGGTCGCTAGCGCAATACTAGACCAATGGTCACTAGACCACGGGTCGTTAGCAGTAGCACAAAACTAGACCACGGGTCGTTAGCAGTAGCACAAAACTAGACCACTGGTCACTAGACCACCGGTCGTTAGCAGTAGCACAAAACTAGACCACTGGTCACTAGACCACCGTACCGGTCGCTAGCAGTAGCACAATAGTAGACGGCTGGCATGTCGGCCAGCACAATACCATTGTGACTAGAACAATACTGGACTGTTGGCATGTCGGACCTGTAAGTTAGTTAGCAGCCGCATTTCGGGCAGCAGGTAAGTCTTCACATCACGCCTGGTTGACCTGGCGGTGCTGGTGTTGTTCTTGGATATGGTTGGCGAAATCCTCATTGTCAGAGGCCGTGAAGTCGCACTGCGGCTGACGACACACGTAAAATTTGGCGTGCTCCGTTGGACAGCAGTAGGTACCGTCGTCCACTCCGCCGCTGAGGTGATTGTGAAGCGCCTCGTACCCGTTGAAGCAGCCGCCGCATGCCGTGCACTCGATCACCATCGGCCGACCACGTCCAAGTGCTGGGCACAGGTGCGTCACGTGCTGGTTAATGTACCTAGCACTGTACATAAATAGGTCGCATTCAGCGCACCTGGTCGAAGGGTGGTGTGTGCTGGCATGGTGAGCGGGCAGGGGTTGCCGAGGCGAAACTGTTGCAAATTTGAAGCACAGATCAGTGTATTTTATGGATTCACGGGGTGCCTGAGAAAAAAGTGGTATGGTAAATACCATACTGTTGCCCAAGTCACCCAGCATACATGCCAACCCTCCCATTCCTGGGGAAAATCCCGGAAAAAACAACAATGCTCCCGTGATCCCGGGGATTTCAAGCAAACTCCCAGAAACGTCACATTTCTGTCCGGTCCAGGTGACTCCAATGTCCTGGTTTTTCTAAAAAAATATGCACATGTACGTTGCGCACTCGCACTTCGAACTCCGCACGGCACTTTCAAAACCTTACCAGCCTGCAGAATCTGCACCGACAGGCACGGTACAGCGCCCGCCGACTGATCGAACTACACTGCTAGTCAAGTTTCATTTTTCTTTAAAAACCTTATTTTGTTGGTTTTTGTTTTGCTTTTTCTTCAGTTGTTGTGTGAGGCCAGTGATACCATGTTCTGTGATTGCCCGTTTAAGAGACAAATTCAACTGCAGGGTCCGAACTCACGGTCCTGTATGCAGAGGCCAGAATCCTGCCCCGTAGAGAACATTTTCTGGCGGAAAAAGCTCTTTTTCACGTTTTTTTGTGCCATCCAGGGATTTTGAGAGAATTCCAGGCCAGATTCTGCATATCTTGTCAAGTGATTGAAAAAAGTTAAAAGAATTTTGTGATGGGGTCAGTACGACCCAGCACAACTTGGCCACCCAACACAAACCACCAATCATAGGCTACTCAGTACAATCCGGCCAAAAATCGCAAGCCACCCATCACAAGCAAACCTTGTAAGCCAACCATCACAAGCCACCTATCACAAGCCACCCATCACAAGCCAACCTAGTAACTTGGTGATGGTTGGCTTGTGCTGGGTGGCTTGTGGAAGTTCAGGGGCGTAGCGTAGCCCTTTTTAGCCTGCTTCGGAAGGTCATGTGACGCGACATAGCGTACACAATTCACCCTAAGGCTATTTTCATTTTTGCAGCCAAGGATACTGGCTCAGCCAGCATATTTTACTTGGAATTTTTGCGGTAACCTGCACGTGAGAAAATTCAATGAGTTTGATTCAGCAGTCCATACGTCATTCTCCTTTGATCTTCCATGTACTATCGGCCTCTTCTTACAAACTTTCGCTGGAGGCTCCGACATCTGGTCTTGCAAACAAACATGCTTCTATTCCTCGAATGGTAGGGATCTGCAAGTTGGACCAGAAACCGCACAGTCTAGCCTTTCACACGTTTCGCGGACATGGTATGGTAAACTCTAGCTGCTTTGTTTGCAAAATTTGCGATACAGCGCTACGCGCCTGAAGTTGTGCACAAAAATTCGGAAAAGACCGAAAATTCGGGATTCATTGGGCAGAAAAAGCCATTTCAATTAGCTTTGTGGCATACACCAGGCTGAATTGTGGCGGTGAATTCTTCAGCCTTGCAACCTGTTGAATGATGCAACTCCAGCACAAGTTGCTGCTTCCGCTATCGGTATCATCGCCCCCAGCGAAGGGCGTAAAAGGTGAAGGTCAACGGTGCATGTGCATGTGTGTGTGTGTGTGTGTGTGTGTGTGTGTGTGTGTGTGTGTGTGTGTGTGTGTGTGTGTGTGTGTGTGATTGACCTAGAGGAACGCCACATCAATGACTGGTACAGCCTAGCCGAGGACCGTCGTGCGTGGAGACTGGCCTGCAACACCATCCAGCCGCCTAAACCTATGTCTCGGGATATCAGGTGCCACTGCGGCCGAGATGTTCACCGTCGCCAGGACCTCACTCGCCACTCGAAGTTCTGTGCCGCGTGACTGAAACACTGTCGGTCCTTTCAGGACCTGCCATCATCTCCGGATGGGCATTATTGTGTTGTATTGTACAGTTGAACATCGATTATCCGACCACCTCTGGGCAGACAACTGTCAGGCGGTGTTCAGATAAGGCAAATGTTCTGGATAAGAAAAAACTGTCACTCACACACTTTCAGTGGTTATTACTGGCCGCACGACCTTTTTACTTTTTATTTTTCAAAATTTTCGTATTTTTTGAATGGCTCACTACATGCACAGTGCGTACTCTACGGCACGTGCGCCCAAAAAAACTGTTACGGATAATCGAATGGTCGGATAGTCGATGTGCGGATAATCGATGTTCAACTGAATTGTATTGTGTGTGTGTGAGGGGGGAGGGGGGTGAGGGGGTGCGATTGTGCCACGATGCGTGCACGGGTTTCACAGTTGCATAGCAGTGCTGTATCAGTGGTACGGAGGGAGGGGGCGGGGGGTGATTCCGTAACTCGTAGCGAATAAGCCACCTCTTCAGAAAACGAAACTAGAAGTCAAATGTGCTGAACACCCGCTAAGTTCTAGTCACCGCTGCATACATACTGTACATGTACAATGTCCATCACTTACCTTGCATTGCAAGGGGCGCGAACGGAGCCGCAGGTGCAAGTGCGGGCGCAAGCGCAGCCGGCAGCGCAGGCGGGAGTGCCAGGAGCGCAGGCTGACCTGCTGGACCAACCCTGTTGACGTCGTTGCCGGCCGCGTTGGGTACAGCTTGCCCTGCCAGAATGCCATTGTTGATGTGCTGCTGGTGCATAGGCGGAGCGACTATTCCATTGCCTGCTGGTACCTGTTGGGGATACGCTGCTGCAAAGACATACAGTCATAAAGTATAAAGGTAATTAAGTTAAATTAACAGTAGGTGAAACATGAGTCCCTTTTACACTGTGGATCTTACTACAGTCAAGATTGATGAAATCCGACCCAAAGTGCATACTTGGCGCACTCAACTTGCACGACCCCCGATGCCCTGGAAGTGGTACGAATGCTGCTGGACTTACACATGTACAAATATCGCACTTTTGGTCGGATTCCATAGAACGCAACTGTATGCTCATCACAATCGCTGCAAACGCTGCACATCTATATTTTTCACCTGGTCAGTATAAAATAGGGGTTGCGACTTCGACGATGATTTCTTAGGAATGGGTTTGCTCCCCACAATGGAGCTCACGCTATTCCGACAGGCGCGTGCTCGGCGATGGGCACGGGGGCACGTGCACCCCCCAAAAAATTTCAATCTGGGTAATTGCAATTGTAATGTATGCAAATATGCTCTAAAATTCAAGAAAGGTTGCAAAAAAATTGCAGAAAATTGCCGGGAGGGGGCTCCCCTCGGCTCCCGTGCACCCCCCTAGTTGGGGGGCCGAGCACGCCCCTGTCCGACGACGTGAAAAGGTGTCATGTCGGCGGATGGCAGAATAGCACGAGCTCCAACCTGGGGAGCATACCCATTGGTCAGAGTATAAGGCAAAGTACAGAAAATGATCGCGCCCGACGGAACCCACGACTGCAGGTAAGATTTCGTAAATCCAGAGGTGGATGCAGCGCCGAACGGTGGGATTGAGGTGATATGTCTCACGCCCACTGGCACTATACAAGAGTGTCGGAAAGTAGTATGGTACGGTAAGTAAAATTTACTAGCGGGGTTGGGGTTGCCGAGGCATTGATGGTTGGAAATTTGGAGCACACATCAGTGTGTAGCGACCTCACTCACTGAGTATTACGTCATTCTACATAAGCATGCGCAGGAAATAGAATTTCTCTTTGGTCTCAACTTCTTTCTTGTCCGGTTGGCCAAAGTAGCCGTCGTCTAGGGCCCGACGTAAAACCCTGTACGAGAGAGCTTGGAAGCTCAGGGCCCTACGCTATGCTTTTTTGCCTTGATAACCTAGACAAAAAAAAGCATAGGGATGTTATAAATTCTTTAAAAAATCCTTTTTTTAAGACATAACCTGGGATTCGAACCCGCACTATCGCGCGCCCTGCATGCATCCCCCGATACACTTCGCATACATACTAATTCTTCCAAGTTGCTTCACGTTATGATCTTGCATTTGAAAGCCCTATTTGAATATGCATTGTGGCCAGCCGTCTTTGTGATGGTACGGTACGGTACGGGACAGGTACGATCGAGGGTAATACGACACCGTCTACCGCCTTGATGACGGCAAAAAAAGCATAGGGATGTTTTAATTTTTTCAATTCTGCTATTTTTTTGTTCAGGCATATCCTGGGATTCAAACCCGCACTATCGCCCTACATGCATTCCCCATACACTTCGCATTCATACCCATTCTTCCAAGTTGCTTCACGTTATGATCTTGCGTTTGAAAGCCCTATTTGAATATTGCGGCCAGCTGTGTGTGGCCAGCTGTGTTTGATGGTACGGTACGGTACGGGACAGATACGGGATAGCGCCAGGTGCGACACAAACAAACAAACAAACACACAAATACCAAATTAAAGCTGTGTGGACCCTGGCTAGCGCCAGACGTTACTGAAGTAACGTCTTCTGCATAGCTACGGGAACGAGAGAGCTTGGAAGCTCAGGGCCCTACGCTATGCTTTTTTGCCTTGATGACCTAGAAAAAAAAAGCATAGGGCTGTTATAAAGTCTTATAAATTTCTACTTTTTGTTTTTAGACATAACCTGGGATTCGAACCCGCACTATCGCCCTGCATGCATCCCCGATACACTTCGCATACATACTTACCGGTATTCTTCCAAGTTGCTTCATGTTATGATCTTATATTTGAAAGCCCTATTTGAATATGCATTTTGGCCAGCCGTCTTTGATTGTACGGTACGGTTGGGGATAGGTATGGGACAGGTACGGGACAGGTACGGGACAGGTACGGTCGAGGGTAATACGACACCGTCTACCGCCTTGATGACGGCAAAAAAAGAATAGGGATGTTATAAATTTTTCAATTCTCTTTTTTTTCAGGCATTACCTGGGATTCGAACCCGAACTATCGCCCTACATGCATTCCCCCATACACTTCGCATTCATACTTATTCTTCCAAGTTGCTTCACGTTATGATCTTGCGTTTGAAAGCCCTATTTGAATGCAAGAGATCACCATGATTATCACTGCCCAAACTGGACCAAAGCGATGGGGTGAAAACTGTTGTGTTTCGTCGTTCTCAGAGAGGTTTGGCCAGTTCTCCTGGCTGCATTGGGACCGACGTTGCATTTTGCCACATGTGCGTGCACGCTTCGAAGAAAAAGGTGATATCTTCTGGCAGCGCATTTGCGACGTTTACCTCAACACCTTCCCAGTACTCAGTAGTCTCTTGAAAGGCGCACCATGTACCAGGTAGATTCAAATAATGATAACGCGCGAAGTGAAAGTAGGGTGCGGTTTGACATTTTGTGCTCCGAGGATTAGCCTCGAGGTGCGTCTCTCTACAGAACTACCCCTCCCCATTATTGCTTAGAACTAATAGAAGAGACCAACAGTACCAATGGCGACAAACGAAGGCATGGACCTGGCTTTGGTTGGCTATGAGGAGCTCATCAAGATCGGCGAGCAAATGTCTGTGGATAAAGCCTCGAGCCTCTCCCGGCCGGATCTGGTGAGCGAGCTGAGGAAGCGTGGAGTGGGCGTGTTGGCGCAGAGTTCGCTACCCACATCGGAGCTCCAACTTGCAATTGTAAGCCTTACTGACTCAATTAGCTGCATGTCACAGGAAATTGTCTCCTTGAGACAGGATAGAGCCGACAAAATCCTGAGTCTGGAATTAGAAGTGCAACAACTCAGGCGGGAAGTTCAGGGGCTCCAACAACCGGAAATCTGTGTACACCCTCTCGTACAGGAAGCACAGCAAAATTTGGCAATGTCCGGCGGGAAGTTGTACAGCACCGCCGTAGGAGACTTGAATCCCCCACGTGCACGCACCCATATTTCCTCTGGTCCTATGCAGTACACACAGGGTAGTACGGGTTCTAGTACTCACCATATGACCCCCGCTCACACCACCTCCAGCCATTTGTCGCAGCCTGTTTTGTCAATGCATGGCACCAGACCACACCCACCTGAGCAATCCAACCCAGGGTCGAGTGCTGCAGGTGCAGAGTGGTCGGAAGTCACACGCCGTAGGGTTACGTCACGCCACGTGAAACCACAGCCCAGGGCAGCCGACCCGCGTGTGCTAACAGGGCCTGAACGTACAAAGAAGCTTGTTCTGTACGTTGGAAATGTCAGTCCGGGTTGCAGGGCAGAGTCAATAACAGCGTGGTGCAAGGCCCGCCAAGTTGACGTACTGAACTGTTCGATTTCAGAAAACACGTACCTGGGTACTAGCCATGCTCGCGTAACCGTGGCAGCATCGGACGAGGACAAAGTTCTCGACTCCAAATTCTGGCCGGCCACCATCCAGCATACAGTGCGAAAGTGGCGCTTTGCTGATGCCCAAGGTAACAAGTCGTCTTCTACTTCGCGGCGAGGCAGTGATGATCAATCCTGAACTGTCATGCTAACAAACCAACATACACAACGATGCAGCAGCAACGACTAAATCCCAACGCCCCTGTATTCACCCCACTATCGAAACTAGCCCGCCCGCTCTACCCCGCTCAGCCCTCCTCAGGCCGACCCGCACACATTGCATGTCCAGCGCTAAATCCATCAGCGTTCCCTTTTTTCCCTAAATCCCAGCGTGATTTAACCCTAGTATCTCTGAATTGTCGCTCTGTTGTCAACAAGTTGTCTGAGCTCTGCGTTATTGCCGAATGTGCTAAGCCTGACATAATCTGCCTAACAGAGACGTGGCTCTGTCCCTCGAACCCGCTCTCACTGTCAGGCTATATCTGCATCCGCAGAGATCGACCTCCGGAAGACAATCGGTCAGCACATTGTAGCCGTGGGTATGGGGGTGTTGCCGTACTTGTCCGTTCGGACTCCTTTCCGTACGTCTCCCCTCGTGCCGACCTTCAACGCCCTGGCTGCGAGTCTGTGTGGCTTGAACTTGGCTCCCCCTCTACTCAATCTCAGAATCCCATCTTACTATGCTGCATGTATCGACCACCCTCACAGAGCACAATGCAATTGTCGTACTTTTGTGACATGTTTGTTGAGGCATTACAGTCAGTCTGTTTAGATTCTTATGATCTGCTTGTGACTGGCGATTTCAACGCCCACAACTCAAGCTGGTGTCCCACCGATTCTACCTCGAAGGCTGGTGATCTCCTTAGCACAGTATTTGCTGCTCTTGGGCTCCACCAGATGGTTGACTTCCCCACTCATTCCTCGCCTAATGGCTCTGTTTCGTGTCTGGACTTGGTGATCACCAACCGACCACGCCTCGTGCGCTCAATTGATCAAGCACCTCCCTTGGGTATGTCTGACCATATACAGATTGTTTGCACTTTATGTTACGCCCCTATTTCGAACTACTTCCCCAACTCTGCCACTGGTCCTCCCTCTTCACTGTATCGCTTCAAACAAGTACCTTCGCACCTTTGGCAATTAATCAACGCTGATTTAGCTGGCTACAGCTGGTCCTCTCTGAACTCGTACACTGATGTTAATGACGCACTTCATCACTTTGATTGTGAGCTCCAGTCCGCCTTCCGTCGGCACCTCACTTCATTCGGAGCCACCCACACTGTGACATCTCCACGACCCCGCATGCAATCTCCACCATGGGTTACTGCTGAGCTCAGGTCTGCTGTAAAACGCAAGCGTGATCTATATAGTGTGTACAAAAAATATCCGACAGCAGTAAATCATGCAGCTTATAACCGACAAAGGAATGCTGTAAAGCACCTGTCTCGGCAAGCACATCGTCAATATATACG